TTTGTTTGTAACTAAATCATGGCTTCTTTTCCTGCTGAACAAACCACCCCTACGCATGGATCTGTTACCCCTCACTCTTCTGCTTCTGCTTCTTCAAGCACATCCTTGACAGATCCCTATGCTAACCCTCTTTACCTCCATGCTGCTGATTCCTCGAGTCTTATTTTGGTCTCTGAGAAGCTGGTTGGTGAATCCAACTACAGCGTCTGGTCACGCTCTGTTGAGAAGGCCCTCCTGTCGAAGAACAAACTGGGTTTTGTTCTAGGCACTGTTACCAAGCCTTCCGATGACCACCCAGACTTTGGATCGTGGGCCCGTTGCAACGCGCTCATTTCAACCTGGATTACGAATGCTGTTTCTACTGAGATTGCAAGCCTGATCGTATATTTGGATGACGCTGCTGCTGTGTGGAAGAATCTGGAAACCCGTTTCAAACAGAAAAATGCCACAAAGATCTACAACATTCAGCACAGACTTGACTCGCTACACCAAGGTTCCATGGATCTGAACACTTACTTTACGAAGATGACATCTCTGTGGGAAGAACTCAAAAACCATGAGCCCTTTTCGGTGTGCACCTGTGGCAAATGTACCTGCTCTGTGGAAAATCGTTGGATGGATCTGATAGAACGACACAATGTAGTCAACTTCCTGATGCGTCTCAATGAATCTTACACTCCTGCTCGGCGTCAAATCCTTATGTTAGATCCACTGCCGGATCTTTCTCGTGCCTTCAATCTGGTTTCTCAGGAGGAGCAACAACGGCTAACCCTACCTGGAAACACAAATGCTGCTGTTTTCCAAACTGGGCCTTATTTTGCTACTTCAAAATCTCGGCCCATATTGCCGACTCCTTCGTCGTTTCAACCTGGGCCTTATTCACCACGCCCACGTATCAGCTGCTCTCATTGTGGTATGTCTGGCCACCTGGTTTCCAAGTGCTTCAAACTGCACGGTTATCCATCCAACTACAAGGGTCCACAGGCACACCACTCGGCCAACTGGAGCCCTCGCCCACCTTACTCGGCAAAGCAACGACAGTATGGCTCTGATAGAAAGACATCTCAAGTGCATCAGGTTTCTACTCCAGCCGAATCGACTGACAAAACGGCTTTAGAACAAGCACAGAACCTGTTGGCCCAGTTCACGACACAGTTCCAAGGCCTGCGCAGTTCTCTTGCGGATCCTGAACTTACAGCTTCACCCAATGAATCCCACTCTTTATCTCCAGGTACGATTTCTCCCTTTTCTATTTTGACCACCAGTTTTCCAAAACCCACTTTCACCTCGGTAGTTTGGATTCTAGATACTGGTGCAACTTGTCATGTCTGTTGTGACAAGACTCTGTTTTCTGACATACATTCCATACCATCCATAACCATAACCTTACCAAATGGTAATCTTGTTCCCGTCTGTTATTCAGGCACCGTTCATATTTCCCCTGCCTTAGTACTTTCTTCTATTTTATTTGTCCCTGAGTTCTGTTTTAACCTTATCAGTATCAGTTGTCTCACCAAAGACACTTTCTATACTGTTACCTTCTCTCACAGCTCTTACATAATTCAGGACCATACTCGGGATTCGACGATTGGAAAGGGTGATGCAAGACAAAATCTATACATCCTTGAGATGCAGACCCCGAACAATCGTCCTCAGTCTTTACCCATACCTATTTACACAGCCAACACATTTTCAAGTCCTGGTGTTTGGCATCTTCGTTTTGGTCATCCATCATCCATCAGCATCAAAAACACGGCAAATACCTCTGAACCTGTTTTCAGCCCAGCCAGGAAAGACAATTTTCAGTGCGACGTCTGTCCTCTGGCGAAACAACGCAGTCTTCCTTTTCCATCTTCTTCTACTTTGTCTTTAGCTCCTTTTGATTTAGTGCATCTTGATGTATGGGGTCCCTTCCATGTTCCCACTACTTCTGGACACAAATACTTTTTTACACTTGTGGATGATTATTCAAGAGCCACTTGGGTATATTTACTTAAATCTAAAAGCGACGTTTCTTTGCGTTTTTCAGAGTTCTTGTCTTTGATCAAAACACAATTCAACAAAACTATCAAAGCTATACGATCAGATAATGCCCCAGAATTATCTTTTCAACCTTTACTTTCGAAAATGGGCATTCTCCATCATTTTTCATGTCCTTACACTCTACAACAAAACTCGGTTGTGGAGCGCAAACACCAACATATATTAAACGTCGCAAGATCTCTTCTATTTCAATCTAATATTCCACTTTGTTATTGGGGTGACTGCGTTGTTACAGCCGTGTATCTCATTAATCGCACTCCAACTCCAGTTCTAGACCTTAAAACCCCTTATGAGGTTTTCCTGTCAACAAAGCCAACTTATACACATTTACGTGTATTTGGCTGTCTGTGCTTCGTGTCTACCAATACCAAAATTCGACATGAATTTTCTGCTAGAGCCAAACCATCAGTCTTTATTGGTTATCCTATGGGAGTTAAAGGATATCGAGTATTGGACCTGGAAACTCAATGTATTTCCGTTTCCAGAAACGTAACATTTCATGAAAGTGTTTTTCCCTTCAAATCCAAACCACTAGACCAAACAACCATTGACTTTCTTCATCCAACTCCTTCACCATTTTATCTCTATGACTCAGATACACACCTGTCTCCTTCTCCTGCTCCTGTACATGTTATACCACTTCAAGAGTCTTCTTCTCCTAGTTCATCTTCCACCACACCATTACCTTCTTCACCACTAATGCTTTCTCCTCCTCTTCCCGAATGTATGTCAGAAACTGTTTCTAGGCCACACAGACAAACTCGTCCACCAGCCTATCTAATGGACTACCACTGTTACTACCTAACACATAATTCTCCACCACCAGATTCTACCATCACTTCCCATCCGTTAACCAAATATCTCTCTTATACCAACCTTCATTCCCACTTTCGACATTTTACCCTTTCAATATCATCCGAAACTGAACCTACTTCTTTTACCCAAGCTGTTAAGTTTGATCATTGGAGAAAAGCTATGGCCTTGGAGCTCGATGCGTTAACTCGGACCAAGACATGGTCTGTATGTTCTCTGCCATCAGGAAAGCAACCCATTGGAAGTAAATGGATTTTCAAAGTGAAATTCAATCCAGATGGATCGGTTGAGAGGCATAAAGCTCGCTTCGTCGCTAAGGGATATACACAATTGGCTGGCATTGACTATTCTGATACGTTTAGTCCTGTTGCAAAACTGACATCTGTTCGATTGTTGATAGCATTGGCAGCAGCTAACGACTGGATTTTGGATCATTTCGATGTCTCAAATGCCTTCCTCAATGGTGAACTTAACGAGGAAATATACATGAGATTACCTCCAGGATATGCTCAACTTCAGGGGGAGAACTTACCACCAAATTCTGTATGCCGGTTACACAAATCTATCTATGGACTCAAATAGGCTTCTCGGCAATGGAATACCAAGCTCTCCTCTGTCCTGTTACACGCAAACTTCACTCAGTCGCAGTCAGACAATTCCATGTTCGTTAAACATCGGAATTCATCAGTTCTGGTGGTCCTAGTTTATGTCGATGATCTGCTGGTGACTGGTAATGACTCTACCATGATAGCTGAATTGAGAAATACGTTACAATCAGAGTTTCAAATCAAAGATCTGGGTAACATGAAATATTTCCTGGGAATTGAGCTGGCTCGAAGTTCTCAAGGGATTCAAATCTGTCAACGCAAGTATGCCTTGGAGTTATTGGAGGAGTTTGGCATGCTGGGTTGTCGGCCTTTATCATCTCCCATGGAAACTAAGCTGAAATTAAGTCAGGATTTTGGGAATTTACTACCTGATCCTACTCGGTATCGGCAATTGATTGGTAAACTCATTTATCTCTCCGTCACACGTCCTGACATCAGTTTATGTGTGACCAAACTCAGTCAATACATGGCTAGCCCGAGAGATTCACATTACCACGCAGCCTTGAGGGTTCTTCGTTACATCAAGACTGCTCCTGGGCAGGGTATCCTCTATTCTGCTCACTCGCCAATGGAACTAATAGGTTATTCCGATGCTGATTGGGCAGCTTGCCCACATTCCCGAAAATCAGTGACAGGGTTCTGTATCTTCCTGGGTCGTTCCCTCATCTCTTGGAAATCGAAGAAACAAGCAACCATCTCTCGAAGCAGCGCCGAATCTGAATATAGAGCAATGGCTCAAACAACTTCAGAACTGGTTTGGATTTCAGCTCTTCTTCGGGATATTGGCGTCTCACTTTCATCCCCTGTTAAGCTCCATTGCGATAGCAAGTCTGCCCTACACATAGCCTCAAACCCAGTCTATCATGAGAGAACTAAACATATTGAAATTGATTGCCATTTCGTCCGCGACAAGGTGAAATCTGGTTTCTTATCTTTGTCTCATGTTTCTTCAGGAGATCAGATAGCTGATTTGTTAACCAAACCTCTGTACATTGATCACTTCCATAGACTTCTACTCAAGATGGGAATACATAATTTGTATTCTCCACCTTGAGGGGAAGTATTAATCTCCACTGCTTGAGAAGAAGTTCGACAATGCTGAGCTGGAGTGTACAGAGTAACGACCTTGTATGTGCGGGATGTTTCTTGTCTGTTGATACAACTACAGACTCTGTAATTTACTTTTTGTGTGAGGACCACTTACAAATTGTATACAGCAGCATTTTTAATTCTCTCTCTCGAGTCCTTCATCTTCATCCTCAGTCTTCTTCTTCTTCTTCAACCTTTAAACCCAGATCTCTGTTTTCTGTTATCAACACTAGAGTTAGGAGATGTTTCATCGCCATGGTCCGATGGCTTCTCTCGAGGATTCGATCAGTACCGAAATGTAAATAGACGATCCAAGATAAAGACTAATAGGATAGCCAGCCAGTGGTTACTGGTTAGCAGCTCTAAACGACGACGTGTTATCCTCTAGACGACGTCGTTTAATGCTCATTATGATCAAGTCATATGGGCCGTTATTGAGCCTAAATAACTCCTTATATGGGCCGGATCAATTGGGTCTGAAGAGGACCCGGATCCGAGCCGTTTAGAAGAAAGCCTTGATCGATAATCAATGAGGATTGTCCATTCTCTATATATGTATGGAGAGAAAAGACAAAAAACCCTAGCTTTGCAGTGCGAGAGATTCAGCTGTACAACTCGACACGAAGATCAGGGCTCTCTCGTCTCTCGTCTCTCGTCTCTCGTCTCTCGTCCTTGAGCTTCTGGTCTTCGGCAATGGCGACTGGGAAAACTGTTAAAGATGTCTCACCTCACGATTTCGTAAAGGCATATGCTTCTCACCTCAAACGATCTGGCAAGGTTGGTGTTATTGTATTAAAAATCTCTCTTTTTTCAGTTACCTTTTGCGATTATTTGTGATTAGGAGGAACAATTCTGGATAAATTATTTGTCGTATTGCTTCCTGGTGACATGTGACAATGCGAATTCCGTTATTTTGTTTCAGGGATAGATTTAGGCTACAATGCAATTTCTTGCATGCACTTCTTTCGTTCAACATCTGTTCTATTTGGGTTTTTCTGTTTAATACCTTGGATTTCATAATATGTAGATTCAAGTTTATTAAACACATGAATTTTCTGATGCGTAAAAATCGTTAGCTGAAATAGTTGTTTGAACGGACATAGTAGGAATACCGAAGCAATAGGGAAACCAAAAGGAGAGAAGAGATTGTAATTTCTGTGAAATCGAATCCTTTAGGGGTTTTTGATTGCGTGATTGTCTCGGCTCAGGTCCCTGCTTTTGTATAATTGTGTATAGGTGCCGTGTGTATTTCTCTCAGAAGCCAAATAATTGGACTTTGTTTCTTGATTTGGAAAAATCGTATGGTTTATTTCTGTTTGCCTCAGATTGAACTTCCTCCATGGACGGATATTGTGAAGACCGGTACTCTGAAGGAGCTTGCCCCTTATGACCCGGATTGGTACTACATCCGAGCTGGTAATTCTCTCTCCCCAATTTTGTTTGTTAATGCCTTGTAAAATCAGCATGAATATGATTCTTTTATGCAGCATCTATGGCAAGGAAGATCTATCTTAGGGGAGGTCTCGGTGTTGGTGCTTTCCAAAGAATTTATGGCGGTAGCAAGAGGAATGGAAGCCGCCCACCACACTTTGGTAAGAGCAGTGGTGCGATAGCCCGCCACATTCTTCAGCAGTTGCAGAACATGAACATTGTTGAGCTCGACACAAAAGGGTAAATTATAAAAGATCAAGCTTGAATTCCTAACATTGTTGGTAATGAACCCGACATGACAATTTCTAACCGGTTGTTTCCTCGTTTATTCTCAGTGGAAGAAGAATCACTTCCAGCGGTCAACGGGATTTGGACCAGGTTGCTGGCCGCACTGTGGTTGCACCTTGATGGTCTGAACGTTCTCTTCCTCTATTATACTACGGATTGCAAGGCCTTAGTTACTGTAGAAACTATCCTCATCTTCTTCACTCAGAATGTTCAGAGTTTTTGGGTTTTGGGGTGTTTTAAAGTTTACTCTTTTATGTTTTTGTTCTTCACGAACGAACCCTTTTGGCATTCTATGATATTGGAAGTTTTGGCATCAATGGAGATCTTGTATACCGACCCTGTGTATTAATTTCTTCATGTGTTGAGTTACTTTTACAGATGATTTGAGAATCACTTGTTCCCGTGGTCTGACCGAGACAGCTAAAAGATCAGTCCAATTGGCTCGTTCTCCTTAAGGTAAGAAAAACCCAAGAAGACGAAGAAATTGATGCGATTACACGAGTGGCATGATGTGAGTGTAGGAACAACTCAATTGGTTTCGCATTGCAATGTGGAATGTGTTTATCAAACTGTACTAGACTACTACTCTACTTGTTTGTCCGGGCTCTGGACAACAATGTAGGAACACACCCGAATGAGACAGGCAGCATCCAAAAACTTGCAACTATTGGTTGCTGCATTGAATCTGTTTGTTGTAGAAGAAGAAGATGATATAGTTTGGGAAAGCAGACATATCGACAGGAAATATTATTTAGGTGAATGCAGGCCAAAAGGGGAGTTTAGAAGTCTTGAAGATCGCAGGTGTAGGATCCAGTTTCGCTCCAAGATGATGAAACGCTACCGCATCTGATCTTCTTTTGCTGAGGTAAGTGAAACCTTGGCTCCCGGGGTATGGTCGGATGTTTCATCGACCTTAAGATTGAAACAAAGACGGCAAAGCGAAACAGTAAGCAATGATAAAGCCTTCACTTTATCCAAGGGTATTGTTGTTTTGCTTACTACTGCCTTTTTTTTACCTTCTAGGAATGAATGGTCGATCAAAGTACGGCATTGGTTGCGCCTTGGGGATTAACTCTTTTCTCAGCCTTCTCAACTCTTCTTCTTCTGCCAACTGAACACAACAGCAGAAGATTTGTTTTATCAGTTTATAACTTTATTAGTTTAAGACATAAGCGTCTCATGTAGCTCTGCTTTACCTTCTGCTGCCGTTCTCTTTCCATTTTGTATTGTTCTATCAGGCACATCTTCTCAGCCACCTAATACCACAAACCTCACATCATTAACTTGAAGAGGGCAATATTAAGCAACTTGTCTAACTATGCCATTGACTTTGACAGGTTCGGGGATTGGTCACTGTGTGTACATTGTTACCTAAAAATTGTAAAGATAATTCGTAATTAAGTTATACCTGGTGATCAAATTCCGCTCGTTCCGCTGCCCGAATGTCACTGTGGAGCTTCAAGTCGACTGGTTTGGTGATCTCTTTCACAGGAGGTTTCATCAGACACTGAGACAAGCAATAAGTGTTGAATTCTAAAGTTAGCAGCTACCACTGTTCATATCTTTCGAAGGGTTCACGGCTTTTTCTTAAATTCAGTTGATTGCAAATTATAAAATCATAAACAGAATCTTGCTGCCACCATGTGGGTATTACTCTACAAGAATAACCATATGTTTTGCTTCAATGAGCAGCCAATCTAATAGCAATGACAGAGGAGAGAATTTCCAAACAATCCCAATGCAACACCAAAGTTATTTGCTGTCTCAAACTTGAATGATCTTGAGGGAAAAAAAAAAGAAACAGTGGCTGCTCACCTCAGGTTCATCAGTTGTCCATGGAAGACCTTGAGCAATGGGTATTCTCATCTTTTCTTCCTCTATCATCATCTCCTGGAGCTTCTTTGAAAACTCTTCTTCCTTCATTTTTCCTCGTTGCTTGAAAGAAATAGAAGACGAATCAATGCTCAGACCTGAGGTTTTACTGCGAATGACAGAATGTGCTGCGGTCTTACCTCAGTGTTAAGTTTGAATGGTTTCAGCGATGTGACTCTGGCCGGTTTCTTCTTCAACTGTCTGCTTCCCGTCGTTCCAGAAGATTCCAGGCTCTGGAATGGCAATGTAATGTCAAACGGTTGCATATAAATTGTTCCAACCTTATCATATTCGCAGCATGATATTGAAGGCACTTATGAAGAAAACATTTATCCATCAAATAGATTCGTAAGTCATAACAACAGAAGAGGAAGCAACAAACATACATTTCTTCTGCTCCTTCTGGCGCCATTGGAGCTCCTACTTGAAATACTGTAGTATCATTGAGTGAAACAACTCACCGTAAGTAAACACATGATCATAAAAATAAGTGCTAAGAAATCGAATGAAATGGATTTAACCGCAAAGGAACCAACCTGCTGCGGCTGCTATCCCATGACGAAGAAACTGAGGCACACGGGTCTAACCCAAGATTCTCTGCCGTTAACACCAAATCAGATGGACAGAAAGAAGAGATCCACGTGACTTGGTCTGTCTCCGCCTCCGGCACCTTTGGCGGCTGTCTCATTCCGGGCAGTTCCCATTTCATTGGTTTCTTCACTGTCTCTTCCGTTTGGTGTTCTTCCTTATTGTTGCTTGCCTTAAGTGGTAAGCAGGAAAGCTTCTCAAATGCTTCCACGAGATGCATCACTTTCCCGGATTCAGGCACACTTTGTCGGGCTTGTTCCAGAAGCTTTTCTCTTCTCCTCTTCATCGTAGGCATCCCAATTTGACCTAACTCCCCAGGTTCTTCTCCATAGCCATCATCTGCATCCACAATGTCCTGACCTGAATGATCGCACTCTTGTGCAGCAGAACAATCCAAATCCCCCTTTGCTTCCTCCGTTTCACTTCGTTTTTTGAAAAACTCCTCCTGCGAAGCCCGAAGATTTTCATATGCGACGCATAGACATTTCTTCATGTTCCCCTTGGATTTCGCGCCGCACTTGCATTCCACCTCCGGAGCCGCCGAATCCACAGCCGCTGCATCTCTCCTCTCCTTCTGCGAGTTCTTCTTCGCCACCACAAACCTCCTCTCTCTGATCCGATTCCGTGGCGAGAAACCGGCAGGATTAGGATGAAGGTTGGGCTTCAAATTCTTCTGCGCCGATTTCTGCGATTTGGCTGACTTCACAAGTGGAGATCCCGCGGATTTCGTGATCGGAGACCCTGAGGATCTTGCCGGACTCGCATATGAAACGTTAGGGTTAGAATTCTCCAAAAATCCAGAAGAAATATCTTGAACCGTCGACTGGAATTTGGTCGAATCTTTCGCCGGAGTCCCTGGTTTCGTATTCTTCGAAATTGACGACTCCATCTTCGATGGGAAACAAGGAGACCAACCACGAATCAGAATAGAAGCAGAAGAAAGCACTGATTTGGAATCGATCCAGTAATTTTATGCAGATATGTAGATTTAGGGTTTCTCTGAATTGCTGAGGAAGAAGAAGAAGAAGAAGAAGAAGAAGAAGAAGAAGAAGAGTGGGCTTGATTTGGGGGAAATGCGACCGTTGAGGCTTTTTGGACGCTCTCTCTGTAACGGCTAGTCTCTGTGGCTTTTTTTAAAAAAATTTGGTTTAATTTAAATAGTTGGAATGGATTATTGAATTTAAAATTCTGTTTAATTTTGGCCGTTCGATCAGCGGGATTTGCTGGAAACTAATTATTGAAATCAGCCGCTGTCATAATTATCAACCAAAATCAAATTTTAAAACCTTATTAACGGTATTACTGAAGCGTGTTATAAATTCTTTTTATTTTCTATTTCGATATAGTAACAATAAGAAGAAGAAGAAGATCTACATCATTGGTCAACCAACCAAATATTTATGGCTAAGTTTTGTTTGAGTTAATGGAATTCATACAATAATAATAATAATAAATAAAATAATTAAATCAGCCTCTGGGGTTTGGAGTCGGATCAACAAGTATAATAAGGAACATGGCGACCCAAATTGAGTTGTATATGCATTGTAGATTATATAGTTTTAAGAATTCATATGAACCCAAAATTGATTGGCCTATTTTTTAATTAAATACAATTAAAATTAAGATTTCCAAATGATTAACAAAGAAAATGGTAGCTTGGGAAGCAAAACGTTTTTATTCTGTCTTGAATTTATCATGTTCTTTGAGTACATATTATCTCAATCAACAATTAACTTAATGTTTTAATGAGTTACACAAATAAATAATGTATTAAAAAAAAATTCTAAATCGCCATTATGGTATGTGTATAAAATGTCAATATATTTAATGAAAAATTATAAAAAGGATATTATTATTTTTTTACCCTTTGCTATTTCATACAACTACAGCTATATTATGACACCACTTGATATTTTATAAAATTTAAGTAGTGGAATATGAAAATAATAAGGCTGGCATATAATCATTTATGGTAGTCAAAATCCACGTTCTTGAAAAATGCAAAATGGTTAGGCAAATTATTTAACGTTACTTTGTGTTGATTTGTGTGTTAATGTGCCAAATCTTGTGAATCCCCACACTTTTCTTTTTTAAACTTTTATTTAACTTTTAACTTAAGATGTTACATTTTCCTTTTTATTAAACCGGCGTTAATTATCTTTTAATTATGGTTCCAGGGGTAAATTCCAAATCTCGTCACCTATATAAACATCGTCGCATTTCCACAATTTTCCCGCAACAGCTGAGTCAGCTCGATTTCTCTTACAAAAAACACGATCGAGGTGCGATTTTAGCGTTGCCTGTGTTGTGATCTGAGATTGTCGCTTTGATTTCGCAGGTTTCTGTGGTTGATTCCGTATCTAATTTCTTGTTTCTTCTCTTCGATTTCGTTGGCTTCTTTTCTTTCTTTGTAGATTTCGATTTAACTTGCTTATACTATTTCAAATTTTTTTTTAATTCGATTGTTTTGTGGTTTTTTCTATTCGGCGTTTTGATTCGGACATTTTCTGCATTCGGTTTGATCTGTGTCGGTGGTTCACGCAAGTTTTTCCTCCTCTCGCGTTTTTTTTCCAGTTCTGGATCCGGGTTTGTTTGCATGAACCAGATCTGAGATTTTGATTCGAACATCTCTCGATTTGTTCAATTTTCATGCTAAATTTATGTCTAAGTGAATCGTGATTAAGCGTGATCGTGATTATTCTGAACTTGAATTGCCTAATATGGTTTGATCTGAACTATAGTACCTTCGCCTAACATTTTGTTCTTTCCTCCTGGTATTTCCTGTTCCTGATGTAGATAGCTTCATTAATGGCTTGAAAGATCTCAAATTGAGATTTTTTCCAACGGCCTTTCTGGTTAAGTTTTTGTCTGATGCGTACAAATCCCCCACTTTCCTTTCTTTTCAGGTTGTCTAGTAGACAAGCAAAATGGTGAAGATCTGCTGCATTGGAGCTGGCTACGTTGGTGGCCCAACTATGGCAGTCATTGCTATGAAGTGTCCTTCTGTTGAGGTTGTCATTGTCGATATCTCCGTGCCCAGGATCAATGCCTGGAACAGCGATCAAGCCTGGCCTGGATGAAGTGGTCAGGCAGTGCCGTGTAAAGAACCTCTTCTGCAGCACTGATGTAGAGAAACACGTGAGAGAGGCCGACCAAGACACGGGGTCTCGGAGCCGGAAAAGCTACCGACTTAACTTATTGGGAGAGCACAGCTCGCATGATTGCCGATGTTTCGGTATCTGACAAGATTGTGGTTGAGAAATCACTCCCTGTCAAGACAACAGAGGCCATTGAGAAGATTCTTACCCACAACAGCAAGGGAATCAAATTCCAAATTCTCTTGAACCCTAAGTTTCTCTTGAACCCTAAGTTCCTCGCCGAAGGAACTGCCATTCAAGATCTCTTCGAACCTGACCGTGTGGTGATCGGAGGTCGGGAAACCCCTGAAGGCCTTAAAGCCGTACAAGCCCTGAAAGAAGTATATGCCCAGTGGGTTCCGGAAGAATGAATCCTGACCATCGATATCTGGTCAGCCGAGCTCTCCAAGCTTGCAGTCAATGCCTTCCTGGCCCAGAGGATCTCATCCGTCAATGCCATGTCTGTTCTTTGCGAAGCAACTGGAGCCGACGTCACAGAGGTTTCCTACATCGTTGGTAAGGACTCTCGGATTGGTCCCAAGTTCTTGAACTCCAGTGTTAGGTTGGGTGGCTCATGCTTCCAGAAAGACATCCTTAACCTGGTCTACATATTCGAATGCAACGGCCTCCCAAAGGTAGCTGAGTACTGGAAACAGGTCATCAAGATCAATGACTACCAGAAAACCCGGTTCATGAACCGAGTGGTCTCGTCAATGTACAAAACGGTGGCCAACAAAAAGGTGGCCATACTCGGGTTCGCCTTCAAGAAAGACACGGGTGACACGAGGAAGACTCTCGACGTATGCAAAGGTCTGTTAGGAGACAAAGCCCGTCTCAGCATCTATGACCCGCAGGTGACCGAGGACCAGATCCAGAGAGACCTGACCATGAACAAGTTCGACTGGGACCACCCTCTCCACCTCCAGCCCACGAGTCCGACCACGGTGAAACAAGTCTCGGTTACGTGGGACGCACACAATGCCGCAAAGGACGCGCATGGAATCTGCATCCTGACCGGGTGGGACGAGCTCAAGTCACTTGACTATAACCGAATCTACGAAAACATGCAGAAGCCGGCGTTCATCTTCGACGGAATTGGAGCGAATCGGATATAGTCAGCTTTATTTTTTTTTTCCCCGTCACTTCATGCATATAAGTTTGGTTAGTGGAAAGTAAGCTTTTTTTTTCATCACTGTTTTTGAATATTTTTTTCCCTTTTTATGCCAAATAAAAAAAAAAGGAAGAGAAATATTCAGCTACAGAAATTTCAATGGAACTTATGGGTGAAGTAAAAATAATCACCAGTATGTGTAAAACCCTAATCCTGGTTTTGGTACATTCTTTGACTTCTGATTGGCTCACCCGAACCCTCTTGTTGGGACCAAGGTTTCTGATTCTCTGTTTCCGCCAAAGCCGCTCCGTTCGTTCCCTCGCTCAAAAGTTGTTTGATCGCTCTGTTTCACTCTCTCTCTCTCATACCCGATCTTTCTTTTTCCCGGAAATTGAGAGAAAATCTGAACTTTCTCGTCTTCTCGTTCTTCTTCATCCTTCGATGACCACAACACCTTCATTTTCTCACTCCTGAAGCTGAATCTTTCTATTACTACTCTGTCTCGGCTTATCAGTTAGTTTTTCTCTATACTCTCGCTGACATACTTTGTCCCGTATTTCTCTGCTACCTCCTCTACTTATTCCTTCTCTGTGCTTCACGTTTCTTTCCCTCCATCTGATGGAAGAATTCTCCAACACCACATGAAGACTCAATTTCTTCGGTTGGGAGAATCACTGAATCAGCGAGATCTGTCTAGCAGGGATGGATTCACCAGAAGCTTCACTTGATCGATCGGGTACGAGGAAGAATGTGGAAAAGGGTTTCGATCTCAAAGATACATCTTGCGGACCAGAGGGCTCTTCTTGAAGAATCCAGAGCTAGTTTGCGTGGTTTCTTAGAGTTGAAATTGAATCGAGGGTCTCTGGATAATCATCAAAACAAGCTCGGGGAAGCTGAATCTGAAGGGAATGTGCCTGGATGATGATCCCCCATAAAGAGGTTACATGATGCTGAAATCGATCTCGATAGGAAACCTTACTGGAAAAGAATCTAGATTTCGAGTTGAAGACTCTGTTTCAGGAATCCTTTGGTATATCCTGGAAGAAAAATGTCAGTGGGACGAAATCCGTATTTGGATCTTGCTCGGGCACTGAAGCTTTTTCTTGTTTGCTTCCCATTTTCTGTTCTGTCAGCAAATGTTGTAATAAAAGGTCTTCTCCTTTTTGCTTTCTTTCCTCTCATCCTCAGCCCTCCTTGTCTCAGATTCCTTCTTGTTTGGTACTCAAGCAATCGATCAGAAACCCTATGAAATCCGCAGAAAGCTTCAACCTTTCCATCGTGGTACTGACATTTTCCTGGGAAAGTGATGGAAAGACTGAGACTTTTCTTGTTCCTCAAGGAATTTATCCTCTCTGCTTTTCTTCCCATCTTTACTTAATGTATTAGCTTTACTTATGTCGGCCAGTGTCGGTCGAGTGAACAATTATAAAATGAACTTGGCATGGTTTTCTTAGAAATGACATCACGCTTCAGCTGTATCCATTTCTCAAGAAAACGACAGAAAATAATATTAGTATGGCCATTTATCATCACATCGTTGATAATAATGTTAACTAAATATGCAATGAAGATGAAAAAGGGGATTAGATTATGGCTTTGCCATCAAAATAGGCGAAACCTATAATTAACTCTATGAACAAAACCCTAAACTCAAGGCCAAGACACCAATCCCCCCAACGTTTTTTTAGCCCATGGAAATTCACCGATTAATTCAATTTATAGTTAAATTAATTACATTTTTAAAAAATTCTTTTTTGGAATATTGTTTTTAGATCCACCGGCGAAATGGCTGCTCTCAAAAGCTTGATTTTTCTCTAATTTTGTTTCCCTCTTTTTTCCTTCTTCTTCTTCTTCCGCTCCTTCTCTTCTCTTACAAGCCCCTTGATTTTTTCTTGATCCGTGCGACAACTCTGTAACGATTTCTTGAAACACGAATTTGGTGAGGACCCGTTTAGATTCTCGTCATTCAGTAGTCGGAAGAAATCCAGAAAGACGGCGGAAATCTCAAATTTGAATCCTTTTTGGTGGTCGAATATTCAATGCGGTCTGTGAGAAGACCACAAGGAGGAAGAAGACTGATAAGGAACGGAACAACTACGGATTCGGGAGATACCCAGAAGGCTAGATCGAGAATCGGGCGGCAATCGGGATCGGGGAAGCGGAATCGCGTCGGATCTAATGTTCGGTTGGGGATTGGCTACGGAAGCAGGAATTAGGGTTTTCGTTTCGATCGCAGCTGTTCTTATTGTGGTGGGGCTGCACGATCAAGGATGCAGCTTCACATATCGCCTAGCATGAGGAGCATCACGATATCGAGCAGCAATGGGTTTATTGACTTGATGAAGATCAAAATCGCAGCTCGTCACATCTCTTATCGAACCCTTTTCCACACGATCCTGATCCTTGCTTTCTTGTTGCCATTCGTCTTCATCCTAACCGCTGTTGTTACCCTTGAAGGTGTCAACAAGTGCTCCTCGATTGGTAACATTTTTCCTCGATTGGGCACTGATTTCTTGATGTGTATTTCTCAGTTTGTTGGGATCTTGACCTTTGTTGATGCCGATTTCATAGTTGTAGTGAGTTTTTTTAATGGGGAAGTGAAGTGGGGATTTTTGGAATAGGATTTGGTTGAGAGTGAGCTAGGTTGTGAGAGGGGCTTCCTTATGCTATTAGACTTGATGATTAGATTCGTGGAATTTGATATCAATGCTTGGTAATGGATTTGGTTGCGGTAACAAAGTTTCTGGATTCTGTTTTCTTGCTAAAGAATTTGAGCATTGATTCACACAATTGAGTTTATTGTCTTTGCTCTAAGCAAGATGAATGTGCCGCCTTTCTGTAATTGGTAATAACAAATTGGATTCATACTATTGAGTTTTTACGGATGTCAAGCTCTGATTTAAAGGGTAATGCTGTTTTGTTGGGTTGTGGAATGGATGAGATTTTCAGAGAATTTCTGGCATTTGTATTTGTATGTAGTTAGGAATAGAGGTTGTTTACATACTACAAGATCAGAATTTAACGATTACCTTAAGGAGTCTATTTCTTTTTTGTGTTCATATCTCATTACAGTTTCCTCCCTCTTCTGTTTACTTCAGATTGTTTGGGGAGGCGGTTAGGTCCACGACTTCTCGGTAGGGTAGATGATTCAGAGGTGGGTGGTTGCTTATTTTCCAATCTTCTCTATATCAGTTTTTTTTGTTTCGAATTGTCTCCTCAAGCCGGGTCTCTTTTCTCAATGTTTATATCGCAGCAGAGATTAGTTAGGGACTTCTATAAAATTCTAAATGAAGTGAGCACTCAAGAAATTCCAGATGGTTGGAAGCTTCCAGATTCTTTTAGTCAGCTTGTTTCAGATATGAAGGACAACCACTATGATGCGAAAACGTTTGCTCTTGTTCTGCGAGCTATGGTACGCCTGTGATATAACATGTTCTTGCTAGATAAAATGTATGCTCTGTTATGATACATGCAAATGTCGGTACTTTCATCTAATGTGTTATTGACTTCTGTCTGATTTTGATCACTTATGCACAGATCGAGAAGTTTGAGCGGGATATTAGGGAATCTAAATTTGCGGAACTTATGAACAAGCATTTTGCAGCAAGTTCCATTCCGAAAGGCATTCATTGTCTCTCTCTAAGATTGACAGATGAATATTCTTCCAATGCTCATGCACGTAGACAACTTCCTTCCCCAGAGTTTCTCCCTGTTCTTTCTGATAACTCGTACCATCATTTTGTACTGTCTACGGACAATATTCTGGCTGCATCGGTTGTCATAGCTTCCACAGTCCAGTCATCTTCAAAACCGGAGAAAATTGTCTTCCATGTCATCACAGACAAGAAAACCTATGCGGGTATGCACTCCTGGTTTGCGCTTAACTCTGTCGCTCCTGCTATTATTGAAGTGAAAGGTGTTCATCAGTTTGACTGGTTAACAAGAGAGAATGTTCCGGTTTTGGAAGCTGTGGAAAGCCATAATGAGGTCAGGAAGTATTATCATGGAAATCATGTTGCCGGGGCAAATCTCAGTGAAACCACTCCTCGGACTTTTGCTTCAAAATTGCAATCTAGAAGTCCAAAATACATATCTTTGCTCAATCATCTTAGGATATATCTACCCGAGGTAGTCTTTCTCTTCTCACTGAGAAAATATTTGAGATGCATGAATGCCACCACTCTTTTTCTTGTTTTGCCTTTTCCTCAAGAGGAGACATGGTTTATATTGAAAATCATGCCCTTCTTGTTGCAGCTTTTCCCGAACTTGGAAAAGGTGGTCTTCTTAGATGATGATGTGGTTGTCCAGCGGGACTTGTCTCCCCTTTGGGATATTGACCTAAACGGGAAGGTTAATGGAGCAGTAGAAACATGTCGAGGAGAAGATCAGTGGGTGATGTCTAAGCGTTTCAGGAACTACTTCAATTTCTCACATCCGATCGTTGTGAAGTATTTGGATCCCGAAGAATGTGCATGGGCATATGGCATGAATATCTTTGATCTACGAGCTTGGAGGAAGACAAATATCAGAGAAACATATCATTCTTGGTTTAAAGAGGTAATGGGGTTGGTATCTATAAAGTCATTGTGTAGTAGCTTCTCCTTTTGCGATGACGAGTTTAGCAAACTCTTGACGTCTTATCCGGTTGGATTGTGCAGAATCTGAAGTCGGGTCTAACAATGTGGAAACTTGGAACTTTGCCTCCGGCTCTTATTGCGTTTAGAGGACATGTTCACCCGATAGAGCCGTCCTGGCATATGCTGGGTTTAGGCTATCAGAACAAGACAAACGTAGAAGATATCAAGAAGGCTGCAGTAATACATTACAATGGCCAGTCAAAACCATGGCTGGAGATTGGGTTCGAGCATCTCCGGCCATTTTGGACAAAGTACGTCAACTACTCCAATGACTTCGTGAGGAACTGTCACATCTTAGAGTAGCAGTTGAAAGCTGAAACTTTTGGACAAGTGAGTGAGCAGAAAGACACGGAAAGGGGGTTAATCTATGCAGATTATTCATGATTGATGATTCAGATTTAGATGCCACGCTGAAAGCATCAAACTTGGGAGCTGCAAAGGGACAAAGAATCATTCTTTCTGTAAAATAGAAGGTACCCTTTTGTTTTTTTTTTCCTGGAATTCTTTGGGTTTCAAATGGAGGAGGGGGAGGGTTCATTGCCCAATACAGAGATTGGATATTGGGGTTGTTGATAATACGAGGGAAAGA